GCCTTCCCTCCCCCAGGGGGAAGGAGGGATCTTTCTCTTGTCCTAGGGATGAGACACCTGCCTGGGGCATGAGGCCCGGCTCCTTCTCCCGCAGCTGCTGCACCAGCTCCAGCAAGAAGGGCACCTCTCGGAAGGCCAGGAAGCCCGACACATAGGGGGCTGTGAGGCTGACCATGCGGCTGTCCTCGTACACCACCTGCCACCAGGCACGCAGCTCAGTGGGCGGCACAGCCCTTGGCCACCTGCCCCGCCGCCACTCCCTCCATGCTGCACCCCCGCCACCCTGCTCTTCATCCTTCCCTCTCCCTTACCTTACCCTCATGGCTCCCCTTCCCTGCCTCACCTACAAGACAATGGGTTTGGAATAAGGAACTAGACGATGTACCCTGCAAATTGGAGGTGGGCAGTACCCCCTGTGACCTGGTCCGTAGCAGCAGCCTCCTGGGACCTGGTCCATATGAGAACCCCCCATCCTGGACCTGGTCAACTGGAGGAGCCCCTCCCACCCCCAGGACTTGGTCCGTATGAGGAGCCCCAACTCCCAGACCTGGTGTGTTACAGTAGGAGCCCTGGGACGTGGTCTGTAGGAAGATTCCCTGGTCCATATGAGCAGCCCCCTGGGACCTGGTCCATAGGAGGAGCCCCCTGGAACCTGGTCCATATGAGAAATCCCTTCCCGAGACCTGGTCCATAGGAGGAGCCTCTCCACCCCCGGACCTGGTCTGTAGGAGGATTCCCCGGGATCTGGCCCATACAAGGAGCCTCTGGGACCTGGTCTGCAGGAGGATTCCCTGGGATCTGGTCCTTAGGAGCCCCCCGGGACCTAGTCTCCATCAGAAGCAAGGCTAAGGTTGCTGGCTGCATCACCTCTGCCTGCCCCTTGCTTTCCTGGTGCCTCCTCCTTTGTGTATTGAAGCGGACACCCCGCCCCACCCCTCCATGGGTTGTTGGAGGCTTAAAGAAGACACGGCGTTGGCCAAGAGTGGTGGCTCACACCTGTAATCCCCGCACTTTGGGAGGCCGAGGCAGATGGATCATCTGAGGTTGGGAGTTCCAGACCTGCCTGACCAACATGGAGAAACCCCATGTCTACTAAAAATACAGAATTAGTCGGGTGCGGTGGCACATGCCTGTAATCCCAGCTACTCGGGAGGCTGAGGCAGGAGAATCGCTGGAACCCAGGAGGCAGAGGCTGTAGTTTAGAGCACAACATGGCAGGCCTGAGTCTCCTAACCTTGTGTTTTCCTTAGTCACACTAGCCTTAATGTGGGGACGCGTTTCCCACTATATCACATTCTCCAGACCTGTCTACCTTCCTGCAATTTTGTTCCTGAATCCCCCAAATCTCTTGGTGACAGCTTTCAAATCACAACTTCCACTCCTCACTTGTGGCTGGATCAGTAATTAAACACATCAAAGAAAACGGAGTGCGCTGTATTAGCACAGAGGGCTGGGGCTCTTTCTCTCGACATCTTTATCAATGACTCAATGGGGAAACTGATCAAATCTGCCCATGACCCAAAGTGGGGAGGGTCCGTTCTGATAACAGAATTTGGCTGGATCACTGACATCCCCACAGAGCAAAGTCACTTTGCACAGTGACACGTGGAATTAAAGTGTGGCCTGAGTTCCCACAGCAGGCGGGGGCTGCTTACGTCTCAATCTCTCTCATAATGCTATAATTCAGGTGACGTTATGGGGTGACTATGATTTGTAATCAGTACGCTAATGACACTGCGGCTGTGGAGGAGAATGTCATTCTCAGGACAGGCCTGCTGATGTCTTCTGAGCTGAGCTGTCACAATCGCGGGGACGTATGGTACACACACACAAACAGCATGCACACGTGCGAGAGAGAATATTCCAGAGCAGCAACAGCTGCACGTAAGTAGAAGGAATACAGCTGTCCGATGCATCCTTTTTCAGTTTTTGGGGATGTATGTACATTTTCAAGATAAAAATCTGGGAAAAGAAAAATCACTGTATGATTAGTGTAGGGGGCAGGTCTGGATGACCAGCAATCTCAACATAAGCCAGTGACCTGGTGCCCCTCAAAAGTTAACCAGTGTTTCTAGCTGCACCAACGGAAATGGCGTGGGTGAGTGGAAGGTCTAGGGACTTGGGTAGACCACATCCGAGTTCCTGCATTTGATTCTGAGTGCCAGACGGAAAGATGGACCCTGTGAACGGAGGGCATGACCAGAGGGCCACTGGCCAGTGAAGAAGCTGGACGTCATCACAGCCTCTTGGGACCATGTGGTCAAGGAGCACGCAGCTGTTTCCAGCAGCGGAAGGGTTGACAAGCAGAAGGCAGGGAAGATCTGCTCTGTTTTGCTACCTGAAGGCAGAACTGATCGACGGGAGTCACAGACAAGCAGGGGTCAGCTCCCTGCAGAGCCCGCGGAGCAGCACACACTAGCCATCACTCAGCATCTGGCATGGAACAGGCTCCGCCGGGAGGCCTGTGGAGCAGCACACACCAGTCATGGCTCAGAGTCTGGCACAGAACGGGCTCCACCATCGTTTGTCAGGGA